TCGAATGAATTTTAAATATGTACCCAGCGATAGATATGTGTGCCTTTCTTTCAGTCCTATCTCCAGACGATAAGATGCTAAATCTATCTCCCCATTTTAAATTCTTATTTAACCCATCCAAGCCTCTATTTGTGGTGTTTGTTTAGGTTTTATAACAAGGCATCTTGTTTGTTTAAATTGTATGTAAATAAATGCGGCTCTTAACGGCTTCTAGGATTCGGTTGACTGTTTCCTTGACTTGTAAACAATTGGAAAATAGTGTAAACACCTGTATAAAAATGTTTTCACAGCTTCCTTAGGTCCATTAACATTTGTTTTATGAGGAATTTAAGTATTTAAATTTTAATATTACAATAATCTTACAAGAATAGTTCGAAAAATAAGCATGATTTTTTTTTTCGTAGCATGATATCTATAATTGTAACATCCCGGAAATCTTGCCCTAATCTATATCGCTTGTTTTATTATTATAACCATGATGTAAACTTATCTTTTTGATTTCCTAAAAAGGAATTCTTCGTTGTACACTCAATATACACAGTAATTCATTGTCAGTAAAAATTACTATTATACTTATTTATAGAATTTATGTATGTATGTATGTATATATATATATATATATATATATATATATATATATATATTTTTTGTAATACGCTGAAATTTAAAGAGTTAATTAGTTTCAAAATTTACTTATTTGTTTTATTGAAAATGTACTAAAACGTTTTTTTAATTAAATAAAATAATGAAACTAAGATTTAACTATGAAAATAGAATTCAAAATGTTAAATGTGCGTATAAAATATTAAATCTAGCAGTTTTTAAAATAATTAAATAACACTCGCAGTTGACATTGTAATAATATAAGGTAAATATTTATCATTAATATTAATTATCAATTAATATTTATGAAACCGGTATTCTATTTACTTGTTTGAGTATTTATTTTTTGTTTTCAAAAAGAAAGAAAAAAAAAGGTTTAGAATAGTCGATACCAAACTATGCAATTCTTTTAAGATATTACAACACTTAATAAAAATTTAGTACAGGTATTAGAAAATGTTGGAAAATTGGAAAAGAGGCTCTGAAGCGGTTTAGGATTTTTGTTTAAAAAAATTTAATTGGAAAATATTATGTGTAATTATTTATTTATTTTTTGTTTCAATTAGATTCCTTTAATTAAAAAAAAAATCCCTAAAAATAAAATTAAACGGTTACTGAAACCTTCCTTTTTTAAATATATTTGTTTTCGTTATTTTCCTCGTGGCAGTTTTCCTTGTTAAGTTTATTGAGAATTAATTCAGAGTAGAGGAAACCTCCGGATATAATGTTACTTTCAATTTTTTACTAATAAAAAAAAAAATGTTTATCGTTCATTTCATTTTTTTTAAATAAGGGATTATGTATACATAAATTAGTGATTTTTTAGTAATCACGTATAGTAGTCATGTTTTTGTATGAGAATTAAATTCGAGTATTATTAACTTTTTCCCTGTTCCAAATTTAAATATAGGTTGACTCATTTGTCTTGATTTGTGTATAAAGATTCTTGAAAAACGGTTAAGCGTTTGTAGGAACACCGCGCTAAGAATTGCATCCTATTTATAAGTAACAGCTTTCCTCACTGGTGGGTGGGTGCAGCTATAAATTCAACAGGGAAAAAATGAATGATAAATTACCTTTGCGAGAATAGACCAGTTTTATGTTCAAACATAAATACGTTGCCTTACATAAATGTCTTTCCCTGTAGGAAAAAAAAAGATATTGTATTTTAGAAACATAAATTACTTCAACTACAAAAAAGATGCACTCTTGCCCTCTGACCTATCGCTGGAGATTCATTTAAGAAAGGTTGGGGTATCTATTGTATAATATATACATGTCAGTGCTGGACAGTTTATCAAATGAAATATTTTAAAATTAAAATACATTGTATTTTCCAAGTTACTCAAATACAAAAAATGTATTTTATATTGTATTTTAACTACACAAAGAAAATTACTGAATTTAGTAGGTTCCTTTACGTATTGTAACAATAGGTCGTTGGCACGAAAATTCTTTCCTGTGAAAATCAAGTTTTGAAATTTTATACGGTTGAGTTATATTTTATTATATAATTATCTCTTTCCATCCAATTGATTAACCTTTTATAAAAAAATATTGGGGACTACAGGGTCTTTTAATCGGAGAGTGTAGTAGAGCATATTTTGTTAAAACTAGTAAATGTAGACCAATAGAAAATATTTAAAAGTACTTTTCAGCAATGAAAAAGGAATGAGTCAATTTAAGTAACACATCTGTGAATATTTAAATAAAACAATTTTGCACAGCTTTACTTTTATTAAAATATGGTTCAGAAATAATCTTAATTAAATTTTATAATTTATTCCAAATTAATTATTTTAAAACTATATCCGTTGCCTTCCGATCTCAGAACTCCTTCCGAAGAATAATCCCCCCCTTTTTTTTTTAATGAATTAATTTTAAAGTGCCACTTTATGAGAGCTTGTTTTTGTATTATTTTTTTTTTTAATACAAAATATTTTTGTCATTTTATATTTGAACTAACTTTTTCTCAAAACAATTTAAATACTTTTTAATTAAAATATGCTATGTTTAAAAAACACAAAATGCTTGGTATTTTAAATTCTTAAAAATAATAATTTAAATAATTTTTGCCCATGTCTGACATAACATATTAAATAAATAAATAGATATATTAAATATGATGAGACCTCTGTGAAAGTGTGTCATCGAATTAAATTATACTTCCCCCAAACGTTTTCGTAAATATTCGCAAATACCTGTTATTAAAAAAAAATTTAAGTAAAATTTGAAATGGTAATTACAATGATTTAATAAACAAAATGATATTTGCTCTCTTTAACATCTCTGATGGCTTAGATACCCATTTTATTACTCTTAATTTACTATATCTTCCATAGCTAACAAAAAAATTCATATGTTTTATAACTTCATGAACGGTGTACTGTGAACACATTATAAATACGAATGGTATCTTTTTCTATATTTCGAGTAATTTCATACCTATTGCAGAATGATTTAGTAATTATATTGTGAACTGTTTTGGCTGCTTATTTAAATACGCTTCTAAATATAATTAAAAGCAAGCCAGATTTCTAAAGTACTGTCAAGTATTTAACGTTCTGACGTAATCGACGTACCTTTCGATTTGTTCCATCTATAATTTCTTGCAGGTAGAAATACGTACCGTTACTTTGGCACGACGTCGTTCTTCGAAAGTTCTCGTTATTTGCTTATGGTATCTTGTGTACTTACGATATCTTGCAATGGGATTGATAAATTAAATAGCGTTGACCGATATATTTATCTTTATACTTCCTTTACACTCGCCCACTCAGCGGATCATAAAGCAGATTTATTTGTCCCGGTTTGGAAAGGAAAAGAAAAAACAAATGCTAACTGTGGAGGAATTGTAGAGGACAACTTTCACTGTTTTCTCCAATTCCCATTTATGTTCTAGTTTGAGACTTTTTTTATTTTTATCTGATTTGTATGGCTATTTTTGGATGTTTTGTCAACAGTTTGGGAAAAACTTGTCTGTATATTCACTTTTTCTCAAGTATTTATCGTAGTTCAGTATATTGAATAAATTATATTAAATATGTGCTCACACATGTATTATTCATATGATTATATCCTCTACTTTTATGTCTAATTAAAGTTTAATTTAATGCAGAGAATTTGCATCCTTAACCATACATTTTATTACACATTTCTTATGCTTATCCAGTTTATGATTTATTAAAAAAAACCAACAGTCTTACTGAACACAGTATGATACATGATATTACGACAACGTTCAAAGAGTCATCTAGAAGATAATTTTGAGGAAACAGCGATGGAACTTTCTAATATTGTTGTCTTAGAAAAAATAATTTTTTTTTTTAAATATTTAGTTTCCTGAATCGATAACAAGGTAAATGACATGATATGCATATATGACAGTTGCTTATTTATTAATCGGAAATCCTTACTGGGCACACTCAGCCTTTGTAAAGTGGGTGACCCTTTGGAAGAGTCGTCCTTGCAAAACCAATTGTAGAGAAAATGTACATTCTTACCAAGTTATGAGCACCGGGCCATTTTATTTCCATACTTGAGGCCTCGTTATATTCAGTGTATGTTTGAATGTCATTGAGAGATGCGATGTCGAGCGGATTCTGTTTTATACAAACAAATTTGAAGTTACTCTGACGAACCTACCTGAATGATTTCAATGTTATAAATTCATCGCAAATCCTAACCTTTCTTTTTATCTCTTTAATTTATCATTTTAAGACTTCTATCTTCACGGACATTATCTATAATAACCACCTGAATTAACGGAATCCAGATTCGGAGTTCCACGAAATCACACAAATCCCTCCATTATCATATCACAAATAACATTATCTATTAAGATTTTGATAATCATGTTTGTTGCTGATTTGGCTCGAAATAGATATCTTCCTGCCATAAATTACACGCCCACATTACTTCACCGTTTTATTTTATTTTTTTTAATTTAGCTTAAATGACTATCTAAAATAAGTCCTCACTCATCATGTCCACGTCTGAAAGTTAAACGGAAAAGTCAAGCACAAATTAAACTTTATATTTATTTTTCTCATGTAAAAGTACTTCCCATCTAACTTCTCAACCATATTATGTACAATCAACTGTTTCTCCAAAATTATATAGAGTTAAATAATTACGGTCAGTATTTGTTGTTTGGTTCATTACCTGAATTAATGTACTTGATGACCTTAAATGTAAGAGCTTTCTGTTCAGTAAATGAAAAAAATCGGAACTCACTTCTAGATATTTCTAGGATTTGGGACTCTATTCCTTTAAATATATCGTCTTAGTAGTTTTGACTTGACCTTGTTAAATATTTGGATTCTTAATCCTCAGTACTTTTAGTACAAGATGCTTAGATCAGGAAACCCCTGCACCATGTAATGAAGCTGAGTCATCATTCCTGGAATGTTAACCCTACCCTGGTACAGGATGAACATACCCCTCTGCCTTGTAAATCCTCTCCGCCCCTGCCCAAAGGTCCCTCCTGCAAGTAGACAATGACAGCAGCCCAATCGTGAAGCCCATGACGCCCCCCAAGGCGAATGAATGAGGACGCATTACCAGCACCAGTCGACCTCGACCGGCGTACAATGGCTCCCTTCTTTTTTTCCGATTCCCACTGTTACCATTTGCGACTCACCTCGTATCATAATACCAGCTTATAATTAGCCCGTCCCTTTGTCACGGGGTAATGACGTGGTGGGTTCGTCACGCCGCTTTCCATATCGGCTTGTTTTGAATACGGGGAACTTGTTATCTTCTTAGCTTAACGTTCTGATAGTGATTGCTCGGCAGGAAAACGTTTTGCTTGAAATTAGGTCAGTATTTTTTTATTGGGAATCCTTAACATTTCATATTTTATAATTATTATATCCTTGGAGAAAGTTTGCCCTTGAAGAATTAGTTGTCTGTTAATTCTCTGTTAACATTGTGTAAGAATCGACGAACAAGCAGAAGTTAATAGCTAACATCCTGAAAGTTAATCAATTAAGGTATCGTGCCTAATTATAGTTAACACCTAAATTATGTTTTATTTCCTGGAATTATATCTACCATGTCATTGTCCTTGTTGTGTAAAAATAGAGGCTCACTTATAAGAAAGTACCGAAGGAATTTACCAACTCAATATAGTCAGATTTCTTCGCACGATTCCATTCAACGTGCCATCGACATGAATGTTACATGACTATTCTCGACTTAATGTCGTAAATTTGAAATTTAAATCCGTTCCGAGTAAGTGGAATAAACATAGGTGTCACGAACAGACGATCGGTATTGGCGCTACCTGGAAGGGTGCAATTCTCTTCTACGTCTTGTTTGTAATAATTGTAATTGGAAATGATGAATTTGTAATTACTTGTGTACTAAATAGGAGACCTAGATCTTAGTGACAGGGTCCGATTTGAAAATATTTCTTCGTGTGTTCTCTTAGATTTTATTCTATGTAAAACTACAGCCATAACATTTTTCCAAATTAAAAAAAAAAATAATTAAAAATTTTTTTTTTTTTGTTCTTAAATGTTTACTTTGTAGTTAGCTAGTTTGTAGAATTAGCAACTCCACAAAATAATTTTATTTTGTATCCATTTTATATTTCTTGGTATCGGACTATAAATTTATTATGGTAAAAATGTCCGGTGTAAAAACTAAGCTCCTTAAATAATACATCCATACGTATAATGAAATCATTAACTTTATTTAAACACCAATTATTTTTCTTATCTTCTCAATATATGCAAGAATTAAATTAGCCTATTTTAGTATTTCGGCCTTGTTTTATTCTTATTTCACAATTATTACATGTATTGCTTAACAGTCCGGATATGTAAACATGCTGATATCTATCTATTCATCAATAATTTCATTAAATCATTTGTTTACTATTATTTTTATTTTAACGATATATGACTGTAATTTAATTATTTCTTGACTATCGTTAATCGTTTCTTGACAAATGTTACTCCTTACTGTTAATTTTAATTATCCTTAGGGGACTGAATGTTTCAGAATAACATTTGCTTGTTCTCTTCTTCTTAAATAAGATTTTATATTTATGTATTGGAATTTACAACTGTATTAAATAAAATACAACCAGTAAATGTAAATAAAATAAGAATAATGTCAGGCTTGTTGATATACTACCAGATACTACAGATATCTAGCAGGATTATCAGGAGGAGAAAGCAAGACTGAAAACATAGGTCCGGATGGGTCTGGAGTTTATCACGAAGAATTTTGTTATATTATGATTTTAAATTATATATTTAATGCATTTTGGATTCCGACATTCGTACGTCATGATTAATATTAATATTGCTGTATTCTTTAATGTAGCTGAACACGTAGCTAAGATGCCAGGTGAGTCGAAGGATTGCGCCATTCGCATCTCGCTCGAGATAAATGGCGATGACGTCTATCCTCTTTCGCTCCGCTCTGACGTTCACAGCCCATCGCCATGAGGACTCCCAGATAACTGGTTCCCGACTTTTTCCCCATCGTCTCCTTTTACAAACTAAATAAAAAGTGATGTATACACGAAGGAAAGGCGATCATTGAGCGATGGGATAGGAGATACAAGGAGGTGGAAGCGACAAAAAAAAGAGAAAGACAGAGAACCGGTTGCGTTCCTCCATGAGCGGTTTCCGTTAGCGCAATTCTAGATCGGCCATTACGTCCACTGCCATATGTATATGCATTATGTTCAATGTCGTAATAAATTGGCCTATCCATGAGCTGTTATCGAGGTTACGAAAGCCTATCGATTGCTTGTTTACTATGTGTTCCTGGCTATGAGTTTATTTATATTTTCAAGGGCATCGGGTAGACTCGGGTATCTTTATCGCTGTTCCATCCATTTTTTATCTTGTATTTTCTTTTTTCTGAAAGTCGAAATTCTAGAATTCCATTGGATAACCATCATGTCTTATAGAGTAGTCGGGTTTTCCTAGTGCACTTTGTAATGCAAAGATGACCTTTCTTTTCACTTTTTTTTTTTTTCATTTACATCTTTACGACTGTAATAAACAATTGCCAATTGTTTTTTAATCAGTCTTTTATTATTTTTTATTTATATTATTTATAATTAAAGGAAGCTAGTCTGCTATTAATAAATAGTAAATATCATGTGTGATAAATAGTCAAAATGTAGTCAGTTTTTATTTTTTTCTAACGTTTCAACCCCAGCTTGTGGGTCATCTTAGGTTGAAATGTTGACAACAATAAAAAATCTCAATATTTAAAATGTCAGTTTTTAAAACTGACAGCGTCCTGACTATTTATCATGCTATGTAGTTTTTAATATAACATTGTATACTAGTGGAAGTTTTTATTAGTTGGACGGTAGTAAAAAATGATATATTGAACTAATATACTTAACTATGAAGTTAATTTTATTTAGTTACAAGAGAGAAAGTAATCGAGGTATGCAGTCTTTATATGGGTCATAAAAATAAGACATCAGAAAAATAAGACATAATTTTCGGATGTAATTTTTAGTGCGTGTCACATGTTTAGATCGAAACATCAATCCTAATAAATCATATAGGAACTAAATATACTGATTATCGTCCACTCTAATAATTTTAACGTTCTCCGATTTATTTAGTTATTTTAAAAATATATATATATATATATTTAAAATTTATCCGTGTTATTTATTGTTTTTTCTTAAGTTTGAACTTCAGTTAAGTAATATAGATAAACGAACTTAGTGAAAGGGCCCGATTTGAAAATATTTCTTCATGTGTTCTCTTAGAATTTATTCTATGTAAAACTACAGTCATAACATTCTTCCAAATTAAAAAAAAAAATAATTAAACAATTTTTTTTTTTGTTTTTAAATGTCTGCTTTTTAGTTATCTAGTTTATAGCATTAGCAACTCAACGATAAGAATTTTATTTTTTATCCATTTTATATTTTTTGGTTTTGGGGATCCACTATACATTTTTGATGGAAAAATAGTTTTGTGAAAAACTATGACAGTAGCATGTTCGAAATATTTTAATCAATACAACTTGATTTTTTACGATATTTCCGACTTAAAGAAACTTTGAAATGCATCCCATGTCACGTAGTATTTTTATTTACGCTTTTTCCGCTTCAATGACGCAAGGGGGATAAAAATAAAACATGAATGGGAAACTTTGTACTCAGCAGTGGAAAATATCGGAGGAATAATATCACGGAGAATTCTCAGTATTGTTTTTGTAATTGCTTTATTGTTGTGCATTAGAACTGGAATAAATTTATTTAATGGGAAAGTTTTTTCTTTGTTTTGTTTGCTCCAGAATATAGTTTTTATTGTTAGAAATTTGAATCCAATGACGAACACGTGTTTAACAAGATGTGATACTAAATTTTACAATAGTTTTTCCTCTTTTAAATGTTTTAATAAATGTTCTATATACATTTTTTTTTTTTATAATTTATAAAAATTGTTTGAATTAAACTTGATAATAAAACGATCCCATCGGGAACTATATTTAGTACAGCTGACGACATCCGAGAAACTGAATCTCCAGGCTCTTGGCAAAATGTCTAACAGCTCCATTGCAATGGCAACGTTTTTATAAATATCTCAATTTGTTTTGATAGAAATTAAAAATTTAACACTAAATAATAATAACAAATTCTGTCATACTTAAAAAAAATAAATAGTGTATGTATAATCTTACTGATAAAAGAGATTTTCAAATTGAACATTTGTAGTATGATTTTTTTTTTTTAATCTGAAACTAAACAATTAGTGTGTGAAATATTCAAAATACTTTTTTTTCTAGTTGTTATATCGAAATAATAAATATTTATAAATTATAATTCCATATTCCCTTATCAATTTAATAAATCTGTTTATTTTTCTCAAGCACTAAAAAAAAAAAAAAAAATAAATAAATAAATAAAAGAAGAAAAACACTTATAAAATATTTATACGATGACCTAGCATTTGTTTTATCTGTTCTCTCCAAGAATTTCTTTGATTAGAGGTTGTTGAAGTCTGTTAATTACAGATAATTCAGCGGTTTGAAGTCTGCCAGCAAGGCGAGTTCGTAATTGTCAAGAGGAAACAGTTTCAGAAGGATTTTTCAAAAATAATGGGTCGTAACTCTCCTTAAAATATTCTCACGATTATTGAAATATTATTTATCTAAGCAAAAAAATAATAATAAATTTGTTTAGTCAATAAAAATTCCAGTTACTGATGAATTGATTTTTCAAATAAAAAAGAAAATTTCAATTCCAAAATTCTGTTAACAATTGTTAAGTTCTGGATAACTCTTACACTAAATGCAATTATAATTTTTTTTTTTTAGACAAATTTTTTATAGTGCTTAAACTGAAAGACGTTTGATAAATTGATTATTTATTTTATACACTTAATGAATATTTAATAGTTGACCGTTGCATTATAAAGGGAGGAGATGGTCCGAGGTGGCGGTCATAAATAGGCTAAATAGTGGCAAAACTATTTTATTAAAAACCAACGTTTCAACCCTTCTTTGCAGGTCTTCTTCAGGGAGGTGTGTTCAGCTAGGAGTTTCACTTAAAACCGATTTTGCCAATAAAATTGTTGATTTCACTTCACGCCACTATTTAGCCTATTTATGAACGCCACCCCGGAACATCTCCTTCCTTTATACACTTAATGTTTGCAAAATTACGCCACTTTCCTTACGGACTTGTCTTATGAGGTGAAAGTAACGCATTTGGATTTGGACGCTCAAGAAATATTACCTACTATACTTACTATTCTCTGCTTCAAAGGAATCATTTTATTCATTTTTTTTATGCGCTAGGCACCTATTGGCCTTGATTCGAGAGATCAAAACGATTGCAATCGCACTCGATCTCTTCTGTAATACAGCGTTGTCAAAGTGTGCGTTTTGCATGCTCTGCGTCGGCCATTATCAGTGAATTATCTCGGAATTAGAATTTTGTATTGCCGTTATTATCTCTGTAAAGGTCATATTCAATTCTGGGAGATATCGGGCCTTCCCGCCACATCGCATCAGGTTGCTATCTCTCTCATCTGGACAAATATTCGACGACAGAAGCCATTACGAACATCCGCAAGCTTTGTGGTGCAAGTATTTGTGAGGGTTTGAGCCGAGCAGCGGATAAGGGTTGGCTTAGCTCCAAGCTTTATTCTCGCAGCGGCAGTCTTTATTGCTTTATCTCTCTGTTGCTTCTTCTCTTTCTTTGGGCCAGTTATTAAAGTACTATCCCCCCCCTCCCTGTGGCTTTTTCTAATTATCTCTTTGATGAAAACAGAATTATTATTGAAGTTTAGATGCTGCTTTCTTATTCCACGATCACGTATTAATTCGACTAATGCTTAATAAGTCATATAATTCATAATTAATTTTAATCAAGATTAAAAATTTATTAAAAGTTAAACTTGCAAGATACTTAATGAAAAATCAATGGATGGCATTCAACATGCAATGTTCCGCTCCTAATACTTCTTTTATATATATATATATATATATATATATATATATATATATATTATATATATATATATATATATATAAAATAAATAAATAAAAATATTTTTAGAAGTTCAGTTAATTTATTTTTTAAACTGAAATTAGATATGTCGTCTATTTATTTAGACTTAACACAGTTTTGGAAATGAAATAATCCATAAAAAAACCGACACCTCTCTCCCAAAAAATGTTATAAGTACGCTAAACGTTCGTTTATTGGTCCTCATTCATATTTCCACAATTTGTTAAATATAAATTTTAGACAATTAAAATCATTGAGGAATTGAATAAATTTCCGCTCCGTAAAACCAAAATATTGAACTCAGTTAAGTTAGTGGAACTATTTCTGACCCATAATAGGGTATATATTCTTTCTAGCAGGTATTGAGATTTTGCATCGATAAATATGGTTGAAATTTATAAATATGTTCTCAAAACTTTTATAACTATCAAAAATGTTCTTAATGTCTTTTTGTAATAAATTAACTTCAGATGGGTGTAGCACAGTACAGTTTTTACTATTACTTTTATAGATTTATAAAAATCATACAAAATATTTAGAAGGATAAAAATAATTGTGTAGAAAAAAAAAATAACCTCTCCCATAAGGTCTTCGTGGAAGGAAGAAAAAAATTTAATATGTTTAATGTTGTACGCTTACATAAAAAATGATGTATATTCTTTTATGGCAGACAACACGAATTTAAACTCATATTTTGGTGCTATATTTATATAGTACAGGGAAAAACCAAATTTGTGTCTAATCTCTTTTTAAGATATTCTCAACACAGTCACCCTATTTCCTCAAACTCTCCAGACTTAGATGTAAAATACAATAATAGACGTGGGCGTTATACAGACGCTTTTAAGACATACAAGGACATGCAAATATGTACAAGGCTCTGTCTTTTAATTCTCAATCCAGGACATGCTTATTCTTCAAAGGAAGAAAGATAGCCGGATTATGTTGATGGCTAATTTTTTTTTTCATGTGCATTAACACTTTTTTTTAAAGCTTGTTAATAGTCTTGTGCTCAATGATAGAAATGCAATATTTGGGCTAGGTTAGTTTGACTTTAAATAAAGAGCAAATTAATTCAGTTTATATGAATTTTAATTTTAAATTTATTAGTGAGTACTGTTGAGATTTGTGATGGTTCGTATTCTTAACTTGGCAATAAGCCAACATATAACGATATTTTAAAACAGTTCTGTTTGAACTGTAAGAAACTTATAATATGTAA